AGATCAGCTCTTTATCTTATGGGGATTCCCTTTTGTGTTATTTGTTGTTTTTCCCTTGCTGCTTTTAATGTTTTCTTTGTGTTTAATTTTTGACAGTTTGATTAATATGTATCTTGGTGTATTTCTACTTGGATTCATCCTGTACGGGACTGTCTGCGCTTCCTGGACTTGATTAACTATTTCCTTTCCCGTATTAGGGAAGTTTTCAACTATAATCTCTTCAAATATTTTCTCAGTCCCTTCCTTTTTCTCTTCTTCTTCTGGAATCCCTAGAATTAGAATGTTGGTGTGTTTAATGTCCCAGAGGTCTATGAGATTGCCCTCAATTCTTTTCATTCTTTTTTCTTTTTTTCTGCTCTGCAGTAGTTATTTCTAATATTTTCTCTTCCAGGTCACTTATCCATTCTTCTTTCTCATTTATTCTGTTATTGATCCCATCTAGAATATTTTTCAATTCATTTATTGTGTTGTTCATCATTTTTTGTTTCATCTTTAGTTCTAGGTCCTTGTTAAATGTTTCTTGCATTTTATCTATTCTATTTCCACGATTTTGGATCATCTTTACTATCATTATTCTGAATTCTTTTTCAGGTAGACTGCCTATTTCCTCTTTATTTGTTAGGTCTGGTGGGTTTTTATCTTGCTCCTTCATCTGCTGTGTGTTTTTCTGTCTTCTCATTTTGCTTATCTTACTGTGTTTGGGGTCTCCTTTTTGCAGGCTGCAGGTTTGTAGTTCCTGTTATTTTTGGTGTCTGTCCCCAGTGGCTAAAGTTGGTTCAGTGTGTTGTGTGGGCTTCCTGGTGGAGGGGACTCGTGCCTGTGTTCTGGTGGATGAGGCTGGATCTTGTCTTTGTATTTCTTTTCTTTCTTTTTTTTTTTTGTGGTACACTGGCCTTTCACTGTTGTGGCCTCTCCCTTTGCAGAGCACAGGCTCCGGACATGCAGGCTCAGTGGCCTTGGCTCACAGGCCCAGCTGATCCGCAGCATGTGCTATCTTCCTGGACCGGGGCATGCACCCATGTCCCCTCATCGGCTGGTGGACTCTCAATCACTGTGCCACCAGGGAAGCCCTGGATCTTGTCTTTCTGTTGGGCAGTTCCACGTCTCTTTGTATGTTTTGGGGTGTCTGTAGACTTATTATGATTTTAGGCAGCCTCTATGCTAATGGGTGGGGTTTTCTTCCTCTCTTGCTAGTTGTTTGGCATAGGGTTTCCAGCACTGTAGCTTGCTGGTTGTTGAGTGAAGCTGGGCGCTGGTGTTGTGATGGAGATCTCTGGGAGATTTTCACCATTTGATATTATGCGGAGCTGAGAGGTCTCTTGTGGACCAGTGTCCTGAATTTGGCTCTCCCATCTCAGAGGCACAGCACTGACTCCTGTCTGCAGCAACAAAAGTGTTTCATCCACATGGTTCAGAATACAAGGGAGAAAAATTAGAAAGAAAGAAGGAAAGAAAGAAAGAAGGGAAGGAAGGAAGGAAGAGAGAAAGAAAGAAAGAAAGAAAAAGAAAGAAAGAAAGAAAGAAAGAAAGAAAAAGAAAGAAAGAAAGAAAAAGAAAGAAAGGAGGGAGGGTGGAGGGAAGGAGGAAGGAAGGAAGGAAGGAGGGCAGGAAGGAAAGAAAGAGTGAAAGAAAGAAGATAAATAAAATAAAGTACAATAAAATAAAATAATTAAAATAAAAAAGAATTATTAAGAAAAAAATGTTTTTCTAAAAAGAAAAAAAAAACCAAAAGAAAAACAACAACAACAAAAAAAACGGATGGATAGTATCCTAGGACAAATGGTGGAAGCAAAGCTATACAGACAAAATCTCACAGAGAAGTATACACATACACACTTACAAAAAGAGGAAAAGGGGAAAAACTAGTAAATCTTGCTCTCAAAGTCCACCTCCTCAATTTGGGATGCTTTGTTGTCTATTCATGTATTCCGCAGATGCAGGGTGCATCAAGTTCATTGTGGAGCTTTAATCCACTGCTTCTGAGGCTGCTGGGATATATTTCCCTTTCTCTTCTTTGTTCTCACAGCTTCCGGGGCTCAGCTTTGGATTTGGCCCCGCCTCTGCATGTAGGTAGCCGGAGGGTGTCTGTTCTTTGCTCAGAAAGGACGGGGTTAAAGGAGCAGCTGCTTTGGGGACTCTGGCTCACTCAGGCCGAATGGAGGGATGGGTATGGAGAGCGGGGTGAGCCTTTGGCGGCAGAGGCCAATGTGACGTTGCACCAGCCTGAGGCACGCAGTGCGTTCTCCCAGGTAAGTTGTCCCTGGCTCCCGAGACCCTGGCAGTGGGGGGTTGCACAGGCTCCCTGGAAGTGGGGTGTGGATAGTGACCTGTGCTAGCACACAGACTTCTTAGTGGTGGCAGCAGCAAACTTAGCGCCTCATGCCCGTCTGTGAGGTCCGCGCTTTTAGCCGCGGCTCGCAGCCATTTCTGGAGCTCCTTTAAGCAGCGCTCTTAATCTCCTCTCCTCACGCACCAGGAAACAAAGAGGGAAGAAAAAGTCTCTTGTCTCCTTGGCAGGTCCAGACTTTTCTCTGGACTCCCTCCCAGCTAGCCGTGGTGCACTAACCCCCTGCAGGCTGTGTTCACGTCGCCGACCCCACTCCTCTCCCTGCGCTCTGACCGAAGACAGAGCCTCAGCTCCCAGCCGACCTCCCTGCCCCAGCGTGTGAGCACACAAGCCTCTTGGGCTGGTGAGTGCTGGTCGGCACTGATCCTGTGTGCGGGAATCTCTCCACTTTGCCCTCCACACCCCTGTTGCTGTGCTCTCCTCCGCGGCTCCGAAGCTTTCCCCCTCCGCCACCTGCAGTCTCCACCTGCGAAGGGGCTTCCTAGTGTGTGGAAACCTTCCCTCCTTCACAGCTCCCTCCCATTTGTGCAGGTCCCGTCCCTATCCTTTTGTCTCTGTTTATTCTTTTTTCTTTTGCCCTACCCAGGTACATGAGGAATTTCTTGCCTTTTGGGAGGTCTGAGGTCTTCTGCCAGCATTCAGTAGGTGTTCTCTACGAGTTGTTCCACGTGTAGATGTATTTCTGGTGTATCTCTGAGGAGGAAGGTGACCTCCATGTCTTAATCTCTGCCATCTTCCCCTCGTCCCCCCTGATTATTTTTAAGTGGATATTTTACACTGTAATATTTTAATTTTAAATAACTTTATATTTTTAGTGACTTTTACAAACTATTTTGAGTACACCATGTTCCTTTTAGTTGTAGTCACTGAAGTCTCTGTTCCTTTTGCTCATGTTCAGCTTATGTTTTGACAGAGATTTTCTTGAATGCGAGGAGATAAAGACAAAACAAGGTATAACAAAAGAAACATAAAAGAGAAATAAAATCAACCTCTCCAACCAAACACCTTTTCCAGTTTTTGCAGGTCAGCTCTGTGCTGGGGCACTCCTTTAACAGGCTTGCACTGAGCCTAAGGATAAGCCCAAGAAGAAAGCTGAGAACTTCTCTCTTGCCCTGGACATGGACGTGGGTATCTAAATTCACCTGCATCCATGGGTGCTTTAGGGTGCTTCCTAATTTTCCAAACAATCTCCCTCAGCTTTTCCTCTCAAACTTTAAGTAGTGTATTGTCTTAGCCATATCTTTTGCCCCAGGCATCTGTAGGGTTTTACTGCTCCTTGCAGTATTTTCCAGCAATGCCCACAGCTATTCCATCCTGAGTTCCAAGTTTAGAAACTAAAGATTGGTGTCTTGCATCAGTCCTTCAAGTTGCTCCCAGACAGGTTAGAACAGACATACACAGGCCCCATCAGAGTAAGTTCTGCTCTGGTCCAACTGGAACTAGAGAGCAAAGTCTCACCGGGGGGAACATGGTCTGCCACCACTTCAAGACTGCCACTGCATCAAGGAGTGGGTATGACAAGGGCAAGTAAAAATGCCAGAAAGTTTTCCTATCATTTTCAAATTTTCTTTTTCCTGATTCAATGTTCACTTGGTTGCTGTAAATAGTTGACTGTTTTCCAGATTTCTGACAAAGCTGGGTGTTTCTGCTATTTTTTATTTTTTAATATTTCTGTGAGGGACTTCCCGGAGGTCCAGTGGTGGCTTCCACTGCAGGGGGTGCAGGTTCAATCCCTGGTCAGGGAACTAGGATTCCACATGCCATGCAGTGTGGCCAAGAAAAGAAAATATTTCTGTGAGAGGACAGGAGCTTAGAGTTGCCTGGTCAGCCATTTTGTTGATGCAACTCTTTTAATTTTGAAAGATAGTTTTGCTGGTTGTAAAATCCTTCATTGATAGTTTTCTTTTCTTTCAGCCTTTTGCATATGTCATTTTTGTTTTTTGTGGTACATCGGCCTCTCACTGTTGCGGCCTCTCCTGTTGTGGAGCACAGGCTCCAGACACACAGGCTCAGCAGCCATGGCTCACGGGCCCAGCCACTCTGCAGCATGTGGGATCCTCCCAGACTGGGACACGAACCTGTGTCCCCTGCATCTGCAGGTGGACTCCCAACCACTGCACCACCAGGGAAGCCCCATATATCACTTTTATATCTTCTGGCCTACATGGTTTCTAGTGAGAAATAAACTGTTACTCTTATTGAGATTGTCTTGTACATGATGAGTCATTTTTCTCTTGCTGTTCTCTAGATTTTCTATTTGTCTTTGGGTTTCAACATTTTTTTACTTTAAACTGTCTGGGTGTGGCTCTCTTTAAATTTATCCTATTTGAGTTCATTGAGCTCTTGGATATATAGCTTAATGTTTTACATTAAATTTGGGAAGTTTTCAGCCCTTATTTCTTTGGATAATTTTTGTGCTCCTTTCCCTCTCTTTTCTCCTTGTGGTACTTCCATTACATATATGTTGGTTTATTAAAAGATGCCCTACATTTATTTGACTCTACTAACTTTTCTTCATCCTTTTCCCTCTCTATTCTTTGGATTACATAATTTCCATCATGTGTCTTTAAGTTTGCTGATTCTTTCATCTTCCAGCTTAAATCTACTGTTGAGCACCTCAGTAAATTTTTCATTTAAATTATTTTAGATTCAGCTTTGCTGGGACTGGTGTGTTCCCGACTAAGATGGTGGCTGTGGGGCGAGTCGGCTCTTTCGGTTCCTCTCCGGTGGGATTAACCTCAACTTACACGGGCGGTCCCTTGGCCAATGAGCTAACCTCGGGCAACGGCGGCGCCGTGGCAGGGGACGATGAGGATGGGCAGAAACTTTGGTCCTGCATCCTCAGCGAGGTCTCCACCTGCTCGCGCTCCAAGCTCCCCGCGGGGAAGAACATGCTGCTGGGTGAAGATGGAGCTGGAAAAACAAGCTTAATAAGAAAAATTCAGGGAATAGAGGAGTACAAGAAAGGAAGAGGATTGGAATATTTGTACTTAAATGTTCATGATGAAGACAGGGATGATCAAACAAGATGCAATGTATGGATCTTGGATGGAGACCCGTATCACAAAGGCCTCCTTAAATTTTCACTGGATGCCATTTCTCTGAAGGACACTCTAGTTACGTTGGTTGTTGATATGTCAAAGCCTTGGACTGCTCTGGATTCCGTACAGAAATGGGCAAGTGTTGTTAGAGAACATACTGACAAATTGAAAATTCCTCCTGAAGAAATGAAAGAAATGGAACAAAAGTTGATTAGAGACTTTCAAGAATACATAGAGCCAGGAGAAGATTTCCCAGCTTCTCCTCAGAGAAGAACTACCGCATCACAGGAAGACAAAGATGACAGTGTGGTTTTACCTCTGGGTGCAAATACACTTACACAGAACTTGGGCATTCCAGTACTAGTAGTTTGCACAAAGTGTGATGCCATTAGTGTGTTGGAGAAAGAACATGATTACAGAGATGAGCATTTGGATTTTATTCAGTCTCATATCCAGAAGTTTTGTTTACAGTATGGTGCAGCACTTATTTACACTTCAGTAAAAGAAAACAAAAATATAGATTTAGTATATAAATACATAGTTCAGGAACTCTATGGATTTCCCTATAAGATTCCTGCTACTGTTGTGGAAAAAGATGCAGTATTTATTCCAGCAGGGTGGGATAATGATAAGAAGATAGGAATATTACATGAAAATTTTCAAATGTTAAAAGCAGAAGATAATTTTGAAGAAAATCTTCCAACAAACAAAAACCCAGGACCAGATGGCTTCACAGGCGAATTCTATCAAAAATTTACAGAAGAGCTAACACCTATCCTTCTCAAACTCTTCCAAAATATAGCAGAGGGAGGAACACTCCCAAACTCATTCTACAAGGCCACCATCACCTTGATACCAAAACCAGACAAGGATGTCACAAAGAAAGAAAACTACAGGCCAATATCACTGATGAACATAGATGCAAAAATCCTCAACAAAATACTAGCAAACAGAATCCAACAGCACATTAAAAGCATCATACACCATGATCAAGTGGGGTTTATTCCAGGAATGCAAGGATTCCTCAATATATGCAAATCTATCAATGTGATTAACCATATTAACAAATTGAAGGAGAAAAACCATATGATCATCTCAATAGATGCAGAGAAAGCTTTTGACAAAATTCAACACCCATTTATGATAAAAACCCTGCAGAAAGTAGGTGTAGAGGGAACTTTCCTCAATATAATAAAGGCCGTATATGACAAGCCCACAGCCAACATCATCCTCAATGGCGAAAAACTGAAAGCATTTCCACTAAGGTCAGGAACAAGACAAGGTTGCCCACTCTCACCACTCTTATTCAACATAGTTTTGGAAGTTTTAGCCACAGCAATCAGAGAAGAAAAGGAAATAAAAGGAATCCAAATCGGAAAAGAAGAAGTAAAGCTGTCACTGTTTGCAGATGACATGATACTATACATAGAGAATCCTAAAGATGCTACCAGAAAACTACTAGAGCTAATCAATGAATTTGGTAAAGTAGCAGGATACAAAATTAATGCACAGAAATCTCTGGCATTCCTATATACTAATGATGAAAAATCTGAAAGTGAAATCAAGAAAACACTCCCATTTACCATTGCAACAAAAAGAATAAAATATCTAGGAATAAACCTACCTAAGGAGACAAAAGACCTGTATGCAGAAAATTATAAGACACTGATGAAAGAAATTAAAGATGATACAAACAGATGGAGAGATATACCATGTTCTTGGTTTGGAAGAATCAACATTGTGAAAATGACTCTACTATCGAAAGCCTTCTACAGATTCAATGCAATCCCTATCAAACTACCACTGGCATTTTTCACAGAACTAGAACAAAAAATTTCACAATTTGTATGGAAACACAAAAGACCCCGAATAGCCAAAGCAATCTTGAGAACAAAAAATGGAGCTGGAGGAATCAGGCTGCCTGACTTCAGACTATACTACAAAGCTACAGTAATCAAGACAGTATGGTACTGGCACAAAAACAGAAAGATAGATCAATGGAATAGGATAGAAAGCCCAGAGATAAACCCATGCACATATGGTCACCTTATCTTTGATAAAGGTGGCAGGAATGTACAGTGGAGAAAGGACAGCCTCTTCAATAAGTGGTGCTGGGAAAACTGGACAGGTACATGTAAAAGTATGAGATTAGATCACTCCCTAACACCATACACAAAAATAAGCTCAAAATGGATTAAAGACCTAAATGTAAGGCCAGAAACTATCAAACTCTTAGAGGAAAACATAGGCAGAACACTCTATGACATAAATCACAGCAAGATCCTTCTTGACCCATCTCCTAGAGTAATGGAGATAAAAACAAAAATAAACAAATGGGACCTAATGAAACTTCAAAGCTTTTGCACAGCAAAGGAAACCATAAACAAGACCAAAAGACAGCCCTCAGAATGGGAGAAAATATTTGCAAATGAATCAACTGACAAAGGATTAATCTCTAAAATTTACAGGCAGCTCATGCAGCTCAATAACAAAAAAATAAACAACCCAATCCAAAAATGGGCAGAAGACCTAAATAGACATTTCTCCAAAGAAGATATACAGACTGCCAACAAACACATGAAAGAATGCTCAACATCATTAATCATTAGAGAAATGCAAATCAAAACTACAATGAGATATCATCTCACACCAGTCAGAATGGCCATCATCAAAAAATCTAGAAACAATAAATGCTGGAGAGGGTGTGGAGAAAAGGGAACACTCTTGCACTGCTGGTGGGAATGTGAATTGGTTCAGCCACTATGGAGAACAGTATGGAGGTTCCTTAAAAAACTACAAATAGAGCTACCATATGACCCAGCAATCCCACTACTAGGTATATACCCTGAGGAAACCAGAATTCAGAAAGAGTCATGTACCAAAATGTTCATTGCAGCTCTATTTACAATAGCCCGGAGATGGAAACAACCTAAGTGCCCGTCGTCGGATGAATGGATAACAAAGATGTGGCACATATATACAGGAAGAACCTAGGGGCAAGACAGGAATAAAGCCTCAGATGTAGAGAATGGACTTGAGGACACGGGGAGGGGGAAGGGTAAGCTGGGACGAAGTGAGAGAGTGGCATGGACTAATAGATACTACCAAATGTAAAATAGATAGTGGGAAGCAGCTGCATAGCACACACAGGGAGATCAGCTCGGTGCTTTGTGACCACCTAGAGGGGTGGGAGGGAGATGCAGGAGGGAGGAGATATGGGGATATATGTATATGTATAGCTGATTCACTTTGTTTTAAAGCAGAAACTAACACACCATTGTAAAGCAATTATACCCCAATAAAGATGTTTAAAAATAAATAAATAAATAATTTTAGTTTTGAACTCCAGAATTTCCTGTTGTTGGGGTTTTTTTTTTTTTTGGTAAATTTTTGTCTATTGATTCTATTTGAAAAAAAGTATCATTGTACTTTTATTGCTTTGATCATGGTTTCCTTTAGTTTTTTGAGCATATTTATTACAGCTTCTTTGAACTCTTTGCCTGCTAAGTCCAACATGTGGTCTCTCTCAAAGGCAGTTTGTGTTACCTGAATTTTTCCCCATATATTGATCATACTTTCATTTTTCTATGCATGTTCTATAACGTTATTGGAAATTGGACATTTCTGATACTACATTGTAGTAACTCAGGGGTACTGATCACTCTGCCTTTGGGGCTTTTTTTGGCTTGTTTTCTGGTTTAGAGACTTAGCCGTACTATTTAAATGAAGTCTATTTCTGCTGCAATGTGAAGTATCTGATGTCACTCTTCAGAGCTGCAGCCTTGGACATGCATACAGTCCCCATGGGTTGACATAATTTTAGCAGGCCTCTTTATTACTGTGTATTTCCCTTATATATGTTAAGCTGTCTGCCTCTGTTAGTATAATATCCAGCTATTTGCATCTACTAATTGCTGGGTGATTGCTCTATTTATTAAAACAGTGACCTGGGTCATAAATTGCTGTACAGTCTGATCCAATTGACTTTGGGCATTTTTGCAGCAGTAGTCTTTGAAACCAGTTTTTGAAGTTTGTTCCTACTACAGGAGGGCTCTTGTTTGCTGTGTAGGGGTGGAAAATTTTTCCTTTCCCCCTTCTAGGTTATTTGGCTGGTCTAATAAAATTGATATAACAGGTTAATGAGAAAAACAACAAAAGTTTAATAACATGTATACTTCCTGCATACATGGGAGATACCCAGGAAAACTGAGTAACTCTCTGAAATGGGTTAAGTTGTCACCTTAAGTACTATCTTCAGCTAAAGACAAAAGATGTTGGGGGTGGGGAATCACTTATGGGAAGTTAACAGGAAAAGCATAGTAGTTATACAGATTGAAGTCATTGCCTCTCCACTGATAAGAGTTTTTAGAGATTTAGAATCCTCCTTCTCTTCCTGGTACAGAAAGGGAGACATGTTTACAAATAGAGATTTCCCTTATAAATGTAAATGTTTCTTACAAAAGGATACATTCTACTCAGTTTTCAGAGCTTCTCTTATGTCTATTTTTTTTTAATAACCAGCTTAAGATAGTCAATATGCCAAAGAGTCATATTTTGGGGTGGCAAAATCTTCTCCCCTCCAGTTGTCTCTTTCCATGATTCTCCCTGTTAAACATCTAGCTGGTCTATGGCTTATCTTATTTCTCTAATGGAGCTATTGCATCCTCTTCATTGCTTACTACTAAAATCTCCATTGCTTTTAAGAGCACCATTAAGCTTGAATTACCCTACATTGTATTCCAAATAAATTCTATTATCTTGGGGAGAGCATTGAGCTATCTGTTCTTATTTCCTGCCTCTCATCCTTGGGCAAAATCTCTACACCGCTGCCCCAGAACAGCTGGCAGGAAAAGTGGCCCACTTCTCTCAGAGTGAAACTTCTGATTTATGAGCAGGACACTGGTTGGGGGTAGTAACCTCTGGCCTTCTTGTCTTACCTTTCCTGGAGTTCTCTCCTTGGCTGCCTCTCCTTGCTGCATGAGCAAGCTTGTGTGAGGATGATCAGACATTGGTATTCTCAGTCTGCCTTGCCTGGGGTGGAACTTCTGTCCCACAATTGTGGGCTCGTGGATGAAGAGTCCCAAAGTTATCAACCACTCTTGCCTAGGATAGAGTTTCTGCCACATGGAACTGGAGGGTGGGATGAGGGTGGTCTGCCACTCCAGGGCAAAATCCGTAGCCTTCACTCGTAACTTGTGGGGAGAGGTAGGCTGCACCTGCTTGGGGTAGAGCTTGCAACATGCTGAGCCAGTGAGGGGGGCAAATGCAGGGAGCAGGTTGTATTTCAAATGCCATAAAGTTGCTGTTAGTAGTGAAATGTAGTAGATTTTCTTACATCACTGTTTCTTCATTTGCTATATGCTCTTAGGAGAATCCCAGAGACTTAAAATGCCTGTTTCTTTTTTTGTGTTTTTGTGGTTCGCGGGCCTCTCACCATTGCGGAGCACAGGCTCCGGATGCGCAGGCCCAGCGGCCATGGCTCACGGGCCCAGCTGCTCCGCAGCATGTGGGATCTTCCTGGACTCGGGCACGAACCCATGTCCCCTGCATCGGCAGGTGGACTCTCAACCACTGAACCACCAGGGAAGCCCTTAAAATGCCTGTTTTAAAAGTAATTTTTGATGGGGAAAGTGTCTGTGGAGGTTTTCACACCACTATTCTGGAATTTATCTCCTTTGGCCATTATT